CAAGGTCAGCTCTACAGAGCGTCTGCTAAGAGAATGTTTGCTATTCATGGCAAGAAAAAACAATAAGTAGAGCCAAATGTCAAATAAAATGTGTTGGAGACATCTTGTAATGGTGGTTTTGAAACATGTCATTACAATAAAGAGTTTCATCAATCATCTTAATTTACCTTAATATAAATGCATTCTTGAGGGGGTAATTATCATTTGATTATTATTTAATACTTTAATTAAGATCATACTTTTTTTTTATATTTGGGCTGTGCATGTCAGTAGAAATGACAATAAAACGAGACAGTAGTGCGCCTAATCATTGTCTAAGACATTTTGCTTAGTACAGTATTTTTTCATGTGAAAGGTTAAAACCCAATAGCGTAATTCTCAACAACAACAATTTTGTTTTAGAAATATCACATTAGATTAGATTTTTCCAACAAAAAACTTTTTTTTTCCATTCAATCACCCATCGCCACGTGTGAATATATACACTTGCATTTAAAGTATTGAGACCCTTTCACTTCTTCTTCACAATTTGTTACTTTGCAGCCTTATGCTAAAATCAAAAAAATCATTTCCCCTCATCAATCTTCACTCAATAGCCCATAATGACAAAGCAAAAAACAGAATTGTAGATTTTTTGGGAAATTAATTATCAAAGAAAAAACTGAATTCAGACCCTTAGAATTTAGCTCAGATGCCTTTGATTTCTCTTGATCATATTTGTGATTTTTCTTCACCATGATTGGAGCACACCTGTGGGGAATCAGCTTATTGGACATGATGTGGAGAGGCACACACCTGTTTTTATAAAGTCTCACAGCTGACAGCTGAGTGCATATCAGAGCAGCTGCCAGAACTGCCTGCAGAGCTCAGAGACAGGATTGTGTCGAGGCGCAGATCTGGGGAAGGCTATAAAAACATTTCTGCTGAATTGAAGGTTCCCAAGAGCACAGTGGCCTCCATCATTCTTAAATGGAAGATGTTTTGAACAACCAGGACTCTTCCTGGAGCTGGCCACCGGGCCAAACTGAGTTACTGTGGGAGAAGGGCTTTGGTAAGAGAGGTGACAAAGATCCTGATGGTCATTCCGGGTACGCCGTCTTTGTGGAGATGGGAGAAGCTTCCAGATGGACAACCAGTGCTGAGCTTTATGGCAGGATGGCCAAATCAAAGCCTCTCCTATAGGGGTGGAAGATCTGGCCAGAAGATCATATGGGAATCTTTCTGGGTAGGATCAAAATGCACGATCTGCATCACAATCTGCATCCTGTGTCCATTTTATCGTGAAAGTCCTGACCAGAAGTTGTGATTCGAATGTTTCTGCCACTTTGACACTTCTTCTTTTGGATGTTTGTCTGCTCGCTGTTATTCTTTACCCACAACGCTGGCTTTCACAACCAATCACACTTTTTGCTTATTTCGTATAGAGTATTTGTTTGAACAGCTTATGAGCTGCTATATGTAAGTACTTTAATTAGAAAGTTCAGATGCTGCCCCGGCTGATGCCGCTCCGTGTTTCCCTGCCTGCAGGCAGATCTCTTGTCCCGCGGACGAACTCCACCACAGTGTCTTGGCCTGCAGCTGGTGACACTTGTACTGGTACTGTACTTGAACCAGTACATGTGGCACTACGCCAGACTCGCCACAGCTGCAGAGCAGAACAAGGTCCGCTGTTGCCAGCTGCAGTTAGCGGGCTAGCTGTTTAGCCATTAACAATGGGCTGGTTAGCAGCGATTGAACTTTTACTTTTAAAATGATCTAATTATAGCACATTTTTTATGACATGATCTGTATGATTCATCTGAATAGTAGAGCGTATCTGCCAAAGTAAGACTGTCCACAATACAAGACTGTAAGATCACCCAGCCCTAGCCTTTCCTCAGTCAAAGTTTGTTTTAAAAAAAAAAGAAAAAAAAAAAAAAAAAAAGCACCTAAAGGACTCTCAGACTGTGAGAAACAAGATTCTCTGGTCTGATGAAACCAAGACTGAAATGTTTGGCCTCAATTGTAAGTGTCATGTCTGGAGGAAACCACTCATCACCTGCACAATACCATCCCAAAAGTGAAGCATGGTGCTGGCAGCATCGTGTTGTGGGGGTGTTTTTCAGCGGCAGGGAGGGAGACTGGTCAGGGTTGAGGAAAAACTGAGTGGCTTAGGGACAACTCTGTGTATGTCCATGAGTGGCCTAGCCAGAGCCCTGACTTGAACCCTATCAAACATTTCTGGAGAGACCTGGAAATGGCTGTCCACTGACAGTCCCCATCCAACCTGACAGAGCTTGAGAGGATCTGCAGAGAAGAATGGCAGAAAATCCCCAAATCCAGGTGTGTAAAGCTTGTCACATCAAACCCAAGAAGACTTGAAGCTGTAATCGCTGCCAAAGGTGCTTCAAATAAGTACTGAGTCGGTCTGAGTGCTTATGTCAATGTGACCTAATGTGAGTTTTTCCTTTTGCTTTTGCTAGAATTCTGCTTTGTCATTATGAGGTATTGAGTGTAGACTGATCAAGAAAAAAATGAATTTAAAGGATTTTAGCATAAGGCTGAAACATAAAAAAATGCGAAATAATGAAGTGGTATGAATACTTTCCGAATGAACTGTTTGTATGTCACCAAGTGTTTTTTTTTCCTGAAATTTGCTACATTTTAGAGGAAATAAAAACACATGAAATTATTCCATTACACAAACTATATTATTTCCATGAAGAAACCTGATCTCCCGCCCCACTGGGACTTCACATACAAAGGGTGGATAAAATAAGAGAAACGCCACATGAAAAGGAGCTTTGAAGTAAGTGAATCATAAAAGCAACTATTCATGTGAGTCATATCAAATAAGTTGAGTGCCATTTCGCTTTTAAAGAGATCTGACAGTCACCACTTTTATATGTGACTTTTGAATCAGTGCCTGATTTGCTGCTGCATCAGCCGTAATAAAAAAAAAATAAAAAAAAGTTCCAGAATGACATATTATGGCAGGGATAATAGATGCAAACATTATGACATCATATGGCCAACACAGATAAACAGTATCATCAGCCTAGAGGAACAGTGGTTGGAAATAAAAGCTTCCTGACACTGCGACAGTGGTTCACACCAAAAGTAGAGCAGACGTGTAGTGGAAGTTACACGCATGACTTACAGCAGGGCTGTTCACACCAGAGGCGTATTTCTGTGCGCGGGCCAGCAGCCCTCTGAAAAAAAAAAAAAAAGTTCGCCTGACACAAAGGTGAAATGTCTTGTGAAAATAGACTTCTTACAATGTGAGCAGAGGTACCAGCACAGAAACACTGCTGAGAGTCATAAAGTTCTTCTTATTTTTTCCACTTCAGTAACTTTATATCGTTCTATTCTTTCCATTTTCCCCACAGACTTACTCATGCATCAAAGTAGCCGCATGTCATTTCTCATTCTGTACTGTGCTGTGATTGAATAAAGTCTATAAGACTGAATCTCTCTCTGTCCATTTCTATCGATCAAACAAACTCTAAACACCTCCTTCAGTAACAGAGCTGATATTCATTTGTATTTTTGTGAAATAGGTGCCTTATTTTTTAAAGACCTTGTGCTCAGCATTGCTAGAACTATAGCTTGAGGTTTATGGGCTGTATGTGTTAATCTGTACCACCTGTGCATCTGCTATACACAGAACAGCAACAGAACTTTTTTTTGCTAAAAAAAATGCAAAGCTATGGCCTCACCAATAAATCAACATCATTGAGACAAAAATAAATTACTACACACAGTACTTGTCAGTATTGTGGCCTTGGATAAAAAGAGTTTCAGTGCAGCAATCGTGTCACTCTCAAACAGCTGGGATCCAAGGCTAATGGTCTAACACACATAAAGAGCAATGAAAGAGTCTAAAACAGTTTATTGGCCGTTGATATATTGTTGTTGTTGTTTCCGCTCGCTGGGTTTAATTCTGAGAAAAGTCAAAGGATGCCCACAATATACCCACAATCCCACCTGTTAGTCATGGTTGTGTTTGTGTAATGCAACAGTTAGCCGTCTTATGGGAGTCGTTATGTTCAATAATTGCTCTGCATGGCCGATATTTCAAAGGGCCCAATTCACCCCGTGGTGCGAATATTTCTCCCCTATAATGTGCCCATTCTCCAAAAATGACTATTCTGCAGACAAGCTGCTAAACAAATCCAAGAGTGGTCTCAACAGATGTGCAAATGATTCAGTCTTTATGGATTGCACAGAGATGTTCAATAATGCAGACTTTGAAGGTAAACCTGAAAGAACAAGAGGCTTTCCCCTCCTGAAGTATAATTCAATTACTCAATAAAAAAAAAAAAAACATCCCTGGACTTCTCGGATGACATTTCCAAAACAAGCATTCAGGAGGCAATCGCTGCTCCTTCATACTTTCTGAGTTGATGGTGTTTCTTTGTCTGCCCTCTTATAATCACACTGATTTAAAACTTACATATCGTAACTTAAAAAGAACTCAATGGCTCGGTTGTGAAATAGCATTAAAAATAAGTAAATAACTAGAAGAAGTTTGCAGTTCATTCATTCAGCCGTTCATTTACTTTCCCCACTAAATTCTTCTTATGATCACAAAGTTCTGGAGGGCAATCCCAGCATTCACAGGGCAGACAGAAGAGAAACTGTGTGTTCCCCACACTTTCAGAGGTGTATTAGCAGTAGTTTGAGATAATAAGGATGATTTATTTTGGCTGAAAAGGTCCATTTTCAGGGAGTACTCTGAAAGAAAAAAAAAAAAACAACAAAAAAACAGCTGTATCCATTCTGAAGTACTCACTATCTCTCTCTGTAGCTCTTAATATTTTTTCAAAAGAGAGCTGAATATGATTTGTATTGATTTGTACTTGTGGCACATAATAAGGGTTCAGATTGGTCCCATGAACAAAACCAAAAGTATCTTTTTTGTCTTTATCTGTCTTTCTTTTCCTTTGAAAGTATCAGATTGACTCTTCATGTGTTTTCACCAGGGACGAAAGCGATCGAGCTCATGATTCTCTTCTTACCTGCCAGTTCAATCACAGTTCCGAGGGGCTCTGGTCATCCTCATGTTAACTTCCAAACTCTGGCCCTGAAAAGACAAGAGGCAAACTGTAAGAATACTTTAAACTAGATAACACATTCACCGTGATGCAGTTTGCGGCCACTGTGTTTCATGGGCTCGGTGGAGTACAGGCCATGAATAATGCACTGTTTTGGAAAGATTATGATGTATCTACGCAGCTACCAAAAATGCAATTTTTTTAAACCCCCAGGACAGAGTACATCTAATTCAAAATTCTCTTTACTGTTTCTAAATAATCATTGAGTCATCTTGTTAGTTTTCCTTTCAACCACTTCCTCAGCGCTCTCTGCTGATGCTGATATTTTAGGGCCTTTGAGAACCTCTATCTAACAAGAGGGGGTTTACAGTATGCTACTGTAAGTCGGAAGAGCTCATTCCCCAGGGACAAGGGGACAGTCAAAGCCATAAAGCCTCACCAACGCACACGCGTGCATAGCCTGCACACACAAAGACACGTACTCACAACACAGAGGACAGACCCTGCTGAATAAATTATGGGGGACAAAGGCAAATGGAGATAAAGCTCTCCATCATGCCCGCCGTCCATTAGTGCAGCGCAGGAACTGTGAGTGCAAATAAGTGTGTGTTTGATCCACATCATTGTGTGTGCCTATCATGACCCCCAGACTTTGTTTTAAGATAAGGGTTTTGCCGTCTGTGTCTCATTTATGCAGCTTTGGCAGTTGAGTACTGTTTCCACATTAAAGTTGCATTACATCCAGATGACCAGCGGCAAATGGTTGTACAATGTTGCAAACACATCTCTGCCTGTCTAATGTGCATCTGATGACAAACAGAGGAGAAGAGCAGGCTTAAAATTAACGACAGCTGCCTGTGAGACTCTCGGTTTGGGGTGAAAGCACAAGTACAAGATGATTCTGACGTGAATCACAAGTGTCCGTAAGCAAATTGCGAGTCAGTTGCAAATCTTCCTGTTTTGTTTTGTTTTTTTGGGGTTTTTTTTGAAGACCAATAATTATAATAATTAATGATTAAATGTAGATGGGTAAATCTTTTGTATTTTATTGTTGTTGCAGGACAGAAAACTTGAGACTGAAGTGTTTTTGCCATGAAGTCTTAAAATAGTCATCTCTCAAGTCCATGTCAAGCCTCACATGAGTGACCTAAAGGATAGGGCTGGTAATATTCTGTATTTTATTTGTTTATTTTTTTCGACAAATCCTGTGAAAAAACAAGAGCAAACAATGCATCAGTCTGTATCTCATTACTTCCCAAATCTCCCAGTGTGTTTATGCACTAAGCCTGAACCCCATTTGTTCCTACTGAGGATGTAAACAATGCTCTAAAACAGTTGGGCACTGCTCTAGTGAGATTTACAGCAGCAGGATAGTGTATGTGGGTTTCACTCAAAATAAACTCCAGTGCCCGTGTTCATCTAAATGAGGGAACATGTCACCCAGTGCAACAGTGTGGCTCACTGATGTTTTTTTTTTGTTTGCTTTTTTAATACTTTTTGGACAACAAAGGAGCTCTGTGGCACAGAGGAATAAGCTACTATATCAGGCTGTGGATACACACACAACATTTGTTAGAAGGATCAATTCATTGTTTATCTTGGTCTTTTCAAGGGATTTGGTGACAATAAGAAAAATATAAAATATCAACAGACTTATCCTTTAAGTCCAACTTCAGTCTAAGTCTCAAGTCTCCAGCTGTACATTTTGCTCCTATGGTGTACAGCACATGAGCATATGATGGTATGAGAGAAGTGGTGAATTGTTTTTGTAATTGTTGTGTAGCTGTCCACCTTGACAAGGTGACCTGGTAATGCAAGTGACATAACCGGAGCATACAGTAAAGCAACAGGAAGTGCAGCGTGTTTGAAGACCTATCCGATGCTCTCTGGCTGAAACTTCACTAAGATTGACAAATGATGCCCGCGAAGAAGATGATAGCGGTGATGGATATGGGCTTTGCCGTTCTAATCATTATCATTGTTGTTATTATAAACAACATCAATATTGCAACGCACACACACTGCCCGGCTTTCCTCCCTCTCTGACACAAAACACAGCGCATCATTACATTTTTCAAAGCGGCTCTCTAGTCCTTGTGTTTCGAAATGTGTCCAAAAGATGTACAGTATGTTCTCTCTAATTAAAGAGAAAGAACCACACTCAACCTTAAACACAGAGACAGTCTGCTCTGTCAGAGACATCTGCTACTTCAGTGCTGGTTGAGTCTTTCTAGGATGAGAAAAGAGATGAAACAAAGTGTCTTTCTATGTACATATACACTGTTTTGCCATTTAACTGAAGGATAAGAGTGCAGCAGCCACAGCTCTGATCAGGCACTGGGAAGCTTTTAGAGCAATTTGCAAGCATTATGGTTTATCCTCAAAAATTATCAATATTAATTATTATTCTTAAAAATGTCATTGTGTCTGGCGAGCTTTTTGCTCATATGCGGCCATACCATTTACCCTATTTAAAAAAACAAACAAAACATAACTGCAATGTAACACTGTAACCGCTATGAATATCATCACATTGCATCAGATCAACCAACATATGATTTTCATAAGCATGTCACTGCCACTGTCAGCGATTTTGTGAAGTCACGCAGACAGGCAGCAGATTGCTCCCTGCAGGACTGAATTACTACCTTTTGAAACAGAAACTTGAATCACAAACATTCAACTACTGCATTTAGAATAGAGTGAAAAAATAAAAATCATCAAGGTGTAACACCTACTATACATCACAGCGATTGCATCTCCAGAAACATTTTATTGCCACCTTATATTTTGCATAGATAGGCAGCATTTATTATGTCATCACATCTTCAGCATCAGTCAGTCCAATAACTTCTAGTCGAACCTTTAGGGGTCGGCGGGATATCAAAGATCTATTCGGCCATTTTTTCTTCTCCTCTCTTTATCTCCCATGAACCCACAGAGATAAAGTCCCTCTCTGAAAGAGTAGTAGTCCAACAAATCAAGACTAATGTCAGTGCCTTCTGCTCCAGATTGCAGCATATTTTGACCCGCGGGTCATACTACTGGTCACCGACTGGAAATGACCAGAAATGCATGTCAGGCTGAATCAATTGGCTGCACAGTCACTCGTTCAATTAAGATCTTGGGTGGGGGTGGTCACTGTGGTTTGCAGTGTGGTGAGTACAGGCTCCCAAAGGAGCAGTAAGTGCTGAAATCAGCTCAGCTGCGCCTGCCATTTGTCATTATCTAATGATAAATCCATCCCTGTAGAGGGCCCTCGCCGGGCCAAATCACTAAGTGACCAGACAGTAAGGAAGTAGATAGCTAGATAGCTAGATAGATAGATAGATAGATAGATAGATAGATAGATAGATAGATACTTGTGTTATTAAACGATACAAGATAGACAATACCTTGGGTCTATTCCATCTGATTTTTGCTGGTACGGGCGGAGAGATCATATCAAGAAGTTTAAATAGATCCATGAAATCTCTGTGGTTTGCTTTGACATAATGCAATTGCAAACAGGGATTCCAAAGCCATATTTTCTATTTAAAAAAAAAAAGTCCAAGGAAGGCGATGGTGACGAGATAAAACAAATTAACGGACTTTAAAGTAGGCATTAAGATGGAATACAATTATCTGGAACAAAGAATGCAATTTTGTAATTCTCTCAATTACATGATCTGTGACTTCATTAAATTAGAATGCGGCTAAATCAGTACTTTAATATGATTTTAATTAATACACGTCTCAGCTATGTACGTTTGTCAGCAGACAATATGAGAGCTTACAGGCTTTTCTGGTATATTCTGTTTATCTCTGTGTGCTTGTATGTGGGCTTCTCTTGCTGTATTTGTGGGGTCTGAAAACTGGAAGCCCACTATACTTGTGGGGTCCAGACAGCTTAGTACGGACCAAAATGCCAGACGTTTAAAGGACTGTTTGAGGGGTTAAGACTTGGTTTAAGGGTTAGGGTTAGAATTAGGTGTAGGTTAGGGTTAGTGTAAGAGTTGAGGTTAGGTGTTTAGTTGTGATGGTTACGGTTAGGGTGAAGGGCTAGGGAATGCATTATGTCAATGACAAAGATATCCATACAAATGTGCGTGTGTGTGTGTGTGTTTGTACTGGAATACATGTGCCACCACTTTATAATGGATTTACTGTCAATTTATCACTGCCACTGCCAGCCAGACTTTCTTGAAATACAGACAGATAATGTGTCGCTTAGCCAGAGTGATTCAGACGCAGGGGACATTTTTGCCAGATTTTCCCTTTTTTTTTTTTTCTTTTTGGGAATTGGCACACTGGCAAATCATGAGGTCTGTTTTGTTTATAGGATGGCTTCATGCACTTCTTTTCAGACTGACACAAAACATGGCTGTCTACAAGTCCAATGGAATTGAAATGGCTGTAGGGGCTGAAGGATAACAGCAACACATGATAAAAGACAGACAGCAGCGTGACGTGACATCCGCAGCATATTATCCTTGCCATACATTTGTTGTCGACACAGTTTGTTGTAAAAGAAATGTCTTCCGATGCAGACCATGGTTTAGCCCCACAGTTTAAAATTCTGCTGCACCAAAGGGATGCTGCAGAGAAACTCATTGCAGAGTGGAATTAGTGCAATCAGGGGAGATATGGAATTAATATGTCTGATTAAGTGCCTGACTGAATTAGCATTTGGAGTCCAAAGAGATTTCAAGCAGGAGGGGAGGGATGAGATATGTTCTGTAGAGGAAGAAAGGCTGACATATTGGGCTATAGAGGAAAATAGAGTAACAGAGACAAGAAGAGGAGGAGAAAAGGTAACTGTGATAAGAAGAGTTTTACTGCACATCAAATATTCCCTTGCCTCTTGGTTTCACTCAGGCCAGTCTCGTCTCTTTGATTAATTATTTTTGACAAGGAAATGTTCCTTCTACTCATCTGCCTGTGAAATAGATTCATAGTCACCCTCCTGTCTTAGGGGTTTTCACCAGTATACACACCAGCTGTCAGTTAGTCATGTTGTG